CTGGAGCAGCTGGGGGGTTTGAACCACTGACCTTTTGGTTATCAGATGAATGTTTTAACCACTGCACTACCAGAACTCCTTATTCTTCTGAAACCAAACCAAACCCACTGCTGTTGAGTTGTATCCAACTCATAGCGACCCCTCCTTGGGTTTCTGAGGCAGTATCACTACAGAAGTGCAGTATATCATTTGATTTCTTGACTGCTGCTTGCATGGGTGGTGATTGTGGATCCAAGTAAAATGAAACACCGACAACTTCAATCTTTTCTCTGTTTATCATGATGTTGCTTATTGGTCCAGTTGTGAGGATTTTTAATTTCTTTTTGTTGAGGTGTAATCCGTACTGCAGTCTGTAGTCTTTGATCTTCATCAAGAAGTACTTCAAATGATCTTCACTTTCAGCAAGCAAGGTGGTGTCATCTGCATATCTCAGATTATTAATGACCCTTCATCCAATCTTGACACCACATTCTTCTTTATACAGTCAGCTTCTGAATTTTTGCTCAGCATACAGACTGAATAAGTATGGTGAAAAGATACAACCTGATGCACACCTTTTCTGATTTTAAACCATGCAGTAGCCCCTTCTGTTCTAATGACAACTTTCTTGTCTATGTACAGGTTCTTCATGAACACAATTTAGTGTTCTGGATTCTATTCTTCTCAATGTTATCCATGATTTGTTATGATCCACACAGTTGAATGATTTTGCATAGTTAATAGGACACTGGTAAACACCTTTCTGGTATTTTTTGCTTTCAGTCAAGATCTGTCTGACATCAGCAATGATTTCACTTGTTCCACGTCCTCTTCTGAATCTGGCTCGAATATTTAGCAGTTCCTTGTCAATGTATTGCTGCAACTATTTTTGAATTATCTTCAGCATAATTTTACTTGCTTGTGATATTGTTAGATAATTTCCACATTCTGTTGGATCACCTTTCTTTGGGATGGGCACAAATATGGATCTCTTCCTGTCAGCCAGGAAGCTGTATTTCAAATTTCTTGGCATAGATAAGTGAGCATTTCCAGAGTTCCATCTGTTTGTTGAAACATCTCAATTCATATTCCACTAATTCCTGGAGGCTTGATTTTCACCAACATCTTCAGGGGAGCTTGGACTTCTTCCTTCAAAACTATCAGTTCTTGATCATATTCTATCTCCTGAAATGACTGAACATTGACCAATTCTTTAGGTACAGTGAATTTGTGTATTCCTTCTATCTTCTTTTGATGCTTCCTGTGTCTTTCGGTATTTTGCCCATGTTGTTGTTATTAAGGAGCTCTGGTGGTTAAGTGTCTAAGGCATTTGACTGGAAGCTTGGTGATTCAAACCCGCCAACTGCTCCATGAAAGGAAGATGGGACAATCTACTTCCATAAAGATTTACCACCTTGGAAATCAATGGGGGTTACTAGGAGTCGAATTGACTTGATGGCAGTGAGTTTGGTTTATTTGGTTTTGTTATTAGGTGCCAAGTCAGATCTGACTTGTAGTGACCCTATGTACAACAGAACAAAACACTGCCTGGTCCCGCACCAGCCTCACAGTCCCTGCTATACCTGAGCCCATCGCTGCAGCCACTGTGTCAATCCATCTCGTTGAGGGTCTTCCCCTTTTTCACTGACCCTCGGCTTTACCAAGCATGATATCCTTTTCCAGGGAATCGTCCCTTCTGACAACCTGACCAAAGTAGGTGAGACAAAGTCTGGCCATTCTCACTTCCAAGGAGAATTCTTCCTTCACTTCTTCCAGGACAGATTTGTTGGTTGTTTTGGCAGCCATGGTACCTTCAGTATTCTTCACCAATACCACAACTCAAAAGCATCAACTCTTTGGTCTTCCTTATTCATTGTACAGCTTTCACATGGATATGAGGCAATTGAAAAATACTATGGCTTGGATTAGGTGCACTTTAGTCTTTAAGCACTTTAAAGAGGTCTTTTGCAGCAGATTTGCCCAGTGCGATATGTCATCTGATTTCTTGACTGCTGCTTCCATTGGTGTTGATTGTGGAGCCAAGTAATATGAAATCTTTGACAACTTCAATCTTTTCTTAATTTATTGTGATGCTGTTTATTGGTCCAGTTGTGAGGATTTTCATTTTCTTTGTGTTGAGCTGTGATCCATTCTGAAGACTATAGTCTTTAATCTTCATTAGCAAGTGCTTCAAGTCATCTTCTCTTTCAGCAAGCAAGGTTGTGTTGTCTTCATATCTCAGGTTGTTAATGAGTCTTCCTCCAATTCTGGTGCTGCATTCTTCTTCATATAGTCCAGCTTCTTGGATTGTTTGCTCAGCATACAGATTGAATAAGTATCGTGAAAAGATACAGCCCTAATGCACTCTTCCTGATTTTAAACCAGGCAGTATCACCTTGTTATGTTCAAATGACACTCTCAGATTCCTCATGAGCACAATCAAGTGTTCTAGAATCCCCATTCTTGCAATGTTATCCATAATTCATTATGATCCACACAGTTGAATGTTTTTGCATAGTCAATGAAACACAAGTAAACATCTTTCTGATATTCTTTGCTTTCAGCCAAGATCCATCTGACATCAGCAATCATGTCCCTCATTCCATGTCCTTTTCTGAATCCAGCTTGCATTTCTGGAAGCTCTCAGTCAATACGCTGCTGTAACCATTTTTGAATTATCTTCAGCAAGATTTTACTTGTGTTTGATATTAATGATACTGTTTGATAAATTCCACATTCAGTTGGATCACCTTTCTTTGGAATGAGTACAATTATGGATCTCTTCCAGTCAGTTAGCCAGGTAGCTGTCTTCCACATTTCTTGGCATAGATGAGTAAGTGCCTCCAGCACGGCATCTGTTTGTTGAAACACCTCAATGGATATTCCATAAATTCCTGGAACCTTGTTTTTTGCCAATTCCTTCAGTACAGCTTCAACTTCTTCTTTTGATACCAGTGGTTATTGATCACATGCCATCTCCTGAAATGAATGAACATGAAGCAATTCTTTTTGGTACAGTGACCATTTCTATTCTTTCTGTCTTCTTTTGATGTTTCTTGTGTCATTCAATATTTTACTCATAGAATTTTTTGATATTGCAACTTGAGGCTTGAATTTTTCTTCAAGTCTTTCAGCTTGGGAAATTCTGAGTATGTCCAATTCTTTGCACATTTCACCATAATGCCTTACTTTGTCTTCTTGTTCTGCCCTTTGAAATTTTCTATTCAACTCTTTTACATCACCGTTTCTTCCATTCACTTTAACTATTCTACATTCAAGAGCAAGTTTCAAAGTCTCTTTTGACATGCACTTTACTCTTTTCTTCATTTCCTGTCTTTTTAATAACCTTTTGCTTTCTTCAGGTATGCTGTCCTTGATGTCACCCCACAACTTGTCTGGTCTTTGGTCATTAGTGTTCAATACATCAAATATATTCTTGATGGTCTCTTAATTCAGGTGTGAAATACTCAAGTTCGCATTTTGGCTTTCATGGACTTATTTTAATTTTCTTCAACTTCAACTTTAATGTGCATATGATCAATTGATGGTCTATTCCTCAAGCAGCCCCTAGTCTTTTTCTAACTGATGATATTGAGCTTCTCTATAATTTCTTTCCATGAATTTAATTCCTGTGTATTCTATCTGTTGAGGTCCACAGGTACAGTCACTGTTCATATTTTTGAAAAATGTTATTTTCAATGAATAAGTCTTTGGTCTTGCAAAATTCTGTCATGTAATCATGGATGTTGTTCCTATTACCAAGGCAGTGTACTTCAGCTATCTGTCCTTTGTTTCCAGCATTCACGTTCCAATCACCAGTAATTATCACTCCATCTTGATTACACATTTGATCAATTTCAGAGCACAGAAATTAGTAAAAATCTTCAATTTCTTCATTTTTGGCTTTAGTGGTTAGTGTGTAAATTTTAATAATAGTTATATTAACTGGTAGTCCTTGTATGGATATTGTTTTATCACTGACTATATTGTTCTTCAGGAAAGATTTTGAAATATTCCTTTTGGTGATCAATGTGATGTCACTCCTCTTCAGTTTGTCATTCCTGGTATAGTAAACTATGTGTTTGTTTGATTCAAAAAGGTCAATACCAGTCCATTTCAACCTGGGATATTGATCTTTATGAATTCCATTTCATTTTGATGACTTCTCATTTTCCTAGATTTGTACTTTGCACATTCCATGTTCCAATTTTTAATAGATATTTGCAGCTTTTCCCCCTCATTTTAGTCATGCCCATAACAGTAAATGAATGCCTTGAAAGCTTTACTCCATCCATGTCATTAATGTCAACTCTATTTTGAGGAGGCAGCTCTTCTCCAGTCATATTTTGAGTGCCCTCCAACTAGAGGGGCTCATCTTCTGGGACTATCTCAAATAATTTTCTGCTGCCATTTGTAAGATTTCCACTGGCCAATTTTTCCAAAAGTAGATAGCCAGGTCCTCCTTGTAGTATGTCTCAGTCTGGAAGCTCCCCTGAAACCTGTCCACCATGGATGTCTGTGGTGGTATTTAAAATACCAGTGGCATGACTTCCAGGATCCCAGCAACACACAAGCCACCAGTGTGACAATCTGACAGACAAATCATAGTCCTTGTACAATATATTAGTTTAACATTATCTTAATCCAAAAGGACCCTCTCAGTCAGTAATTGATAAAGAAATAAATATAATTAACCTTAATTTTACTTATAATATAATTAAACTTAATTTGTTTTCTTAAAAATAGTGATAATTTTTTTTTTCTGGTTTCCTTCTAAAGAGAATTGTGGAAGGCATATATTGGACAAAAATTGACAAAAATAGGAATGATTTGACAAAATAATCTTAATGGAAAATGACCATTTTGCAGAATTCAGCTTGCTAACTCTAGTGGTCATATAAAGAGAAGAAAACAATTATTTATTGTTAATGAAAGATGTTCATTCCCTACAAAATTGAAATATGACAAGTTATCTAGTATTGGTATTACATTTAAAACTATTATTTTCCCTTTATGTTTAGATCTTTCTCTGGAATTAAAGGACTACAGCTGAAAGTTAACCTCCAACCCAATGATAATTATTTTTTCTACGTGAGAGCCATCAATGCATTTGGGACAAGTGAGCAGAGCGAAGCTGCCCTCATTTCTACCAGAGGTACTTTCTCCTTCATACACAAAGAGCTATTTTACTTCCTTCTCATCTACCACTCAGAAAAGACATCCTAGAGGGCAACTTCATAAAGCCCCCAACCTGCTGCCAGTGCTAGGTTTTGGGCATGAAAACTCAAGACTGGTGAAAGATCAAGATGTTTCTTAATTTTCTTCTGGTTTAGAGGTCTCAACTTTGGCTATCCTTCAGTAATCACTCAGGGTGCTTAAAAATCTGATCGCTGGACCCCATTCCTAGTGATTCTGAGTTAACTGATCTGCAGGGAGCCCCAGACATGTATTTATTTATTTATTTATTTTAAATTATTATTCGGGTGAAAATTTTCAGAGCAAATTCATTTTCCATACAACAGTTCATACACATTTTGTTTCTTTTCATGACATAAATTGCAATCTCCATAATATAACAGCCCTCCTCCCACTTCCTGGAAGCCACAGGAGTGAATTAAGTTTTAGGCCCAAAGGGTTACTGGAGAAGCTTGGGGGTTTCACCAATCTCTATCAGACCAGTAATGCTCTAGTCATGTATTTTAAAATTCTCTCCAAATGTTCTTATTTGGCTCACAATGTGCTATAATGTGTGGGTATGTTTTGGTCCTTGGGGATGTGTGTATCTGTGCTTTTGGGGTATGGAGATTCTTTTTCTATTACATTTGGAATTCTATGAACAAGAATAAGACAGAAGTCTTATTCTTCTATTTATTCTTTGTACCTGGCACGCAGTACGTGGCAATTAATGTTTGTTGACTAATGGACTGAGTAAATGAATGACTCAAAGAACTGATAAAGCCATTCAATGATATTTTGGGGATAATACCCATATATTTCAACAAATATTGGCTATTCTCAGTTATTGTGAAGGGAAGTGATAAATGGAAAGGTGTTCATATTATTATTTTATCCTAGAGTCAAATGGCACAGGATTCAGGGTATCACATTCAGTGATTTACCAACAAGCAGAAACTTGTACATGTGTCTTGTTTATGATGTAGTTAGGGCCAGCTTGCTGTTTATAAAGGAAGGACATAAAAGCTACCTGCCCAGGTATGTTTTTCACGCAGGCCCAGTATGGTGCCTATAACTTCTACTATTTGAACTACACCTTTAAGTTACACCAGTGCTTCTGCAAACTTTGATGTTTGCAGAAACATGAAAATCCTGAGGATATTGTTAACTTACTGATTGTGATTCATTAGTTCTGGGATGGGGCCTGAGATTCTACAGTTCTAAGTAGTTTCCAGATGATATAGATTCTGCTGATGTATAGACCACACTTTGTGCAAGTGTGTGTTTGTGTTGGGGGGGAGGTGGGTAGTTCTTTTATAGGAGACACTTGTAAAGATGTAACTATGAGGAACCAGGTGGAAGTAACCAGCCACTGGTAGTCACTAATGCCTTATCATGGATGCACTTTTTGGCTGTGTATCTGCAAACCCTGATCAGGGGATTTTGATGTCAGGGGAAAGGAAGACATTGAACTGTGGGTCTTAGCCTAGGGACAGCTCTTGACATTGTGGCAATGTTTTAATCTTATTTTCTTAACTGCAAAAGGAACCAGATTTCTATTGTTGAGAGAAACAGCTCACCCTGCACTGCAAATTTCCTCAAATGGGACAGTGATTAGCTTTGCTGAAAGAAGACGACTGACAGAGTAAGTAGAAGAAGAAAGCACAAATGTGCTGATGCCTTAGCAGTAGAAATCTTCTTAGAATATGTCACCTCTGTGTGGTCTCACCCGAACATATTCCTGGTTTAATGACCATGCCCAGATGTCATATCAAATATAAATGTGTGCACAGCCATGCAGTTCAGTTATAGTTCATTACTAGGCAGAAAGTGACAGGTACAGTTTATAACTTGGAGAAAGTGTCACCATAGTTATTGGAAATATAGGCACAAATGGTTTTAAGACATAGTCTATTTTAAGGTATTATCTCTGGTTTAATGAAAAAGAGTCCAGGTTAATTCTTCTATAATTTTCCATAGCAAACTTTATTTTCCATCAATCCACTTGAAAATGAATAGAGCAGGATGATATATTGTTGAGTACTTAGTTCTGACCACACACAGAGCTTTCAGAATCTTGCTGCCACAGTGGCCCCAAGAAAGGGAAGCACAAAAGTAAAGAAGAGCCAGAAACTGAAGACAAGGTGGGGAGACTGTCCTGTAGTTTGCTGCAACCTCTCCTGATTATTTTGAGGGTCAAAATGGTCAAATGGGAGACAATAGGTAAAAGTCTTTTGAAAACTGTAACACCATATAGAGCACATGCTGCTGATTATATTGTTGTGCCCAGGGATTGGTAGGCTACAAGTTCTCACAATAAAACACAAAACTCAATCAACAGTGACTTGCACTATTTTTCGATCAGATTGCTGGTCTGGCGAAGGCCAAGCTCAGGTCTTACGTGCCTCGGGTAATGGCCAAGCCTTCTACGGCATTCCAAGAACCCTGTGATATTACTGTCTAAAAGGACTGACCAGTTGATGTAATTATTTGTCAGCCACTAGATCCTCAATAATCCTGGAGCAGCAGCTCTGTTTCCTGCATCTTTGAATCCCCAGAATCTAGCATGGGGCTGCCACATTGTAGGTGCTGGAAAACACACAACAAATGAGGGAATTCAGTGTGAAAAAAAAAAAAAAGAAATGGATTGGGCTTTTCTGTCTTTTTTGGATTTCTTAAAAAACAATAATAAAAAAGATAGACTGGAGGTTGATAAGAGTTTGTAGATAATAACTGATGATAACTATATTTTATATAATTTTATTGATTATCAACCTGGAAATTAGTTCATAAACATCAAGGCTTTTCTCCAGAGTGAGGACTTGTCAGTAGACACCTCTCTGAAATGAGAAAATGAAAAACAGTTCCTTGCATTAATCATTTCCTCATCGGTTAAAGGGGAGAGGGAGAGGATGAATGTTGACACTGCTAAAATTAAAAATATTTCCTGCTGTCTCAGCCATTTCAAAGCACAATTGAGCAATTCATGCCAACAAGGTTACCCATGAGCAGGTGAAAGTTCTTTAGTTCATTTCACCACGGCTTTTAAAAATAACTAAAGTGAGATAAAAAGAGTCATTTAAACAACCTCTCAGGTGCAACTTCTACAATCCAAAGAGGACAGAGGACAGATGACTGTTGACCACAAGCCTCTACAAAGCTGATCAATTATAAGTGGCAGTGGAAGCTATGTCAAATGCATCTTGAGTGTTTGGGGAATTCTGTGGTGATCAGGTCAAAAAGGTTAAGGACACAATGAACAAAATATCTTTAGTCAAATTCCAGCAGTTTTCAAGGATAGGACCCTGCTTAAACTGTGTGCATGTTTGGGAATGTTGACTCTTAAGAGATAAACACTGGTGATTTCTGTGCTAAACTTAATCTGGTTAACTTTGCCTGCAGAATCCCATCAGTGCTGGGTGAAGAGCTGCCTGCCTGTGGCCAGCATTACTGGGAAACCACGGTCACAGACTGCCCGGCTTACCGGCTTGGCATCTGCTCCAGCTCGGCTGTACAGGCGGCTACCCTTGGACAAGGCGAGACCTCGTGGTATATGCATTGTTCTGAGCCACAGAGGTAAGGCAGGCCTCTTTCTCCTTTTCATTCTCTCTTAGTCCAAGTGCTGTGAGTTGATGTATAGGTAGGGATACTTGAGGATAATAAATAAATAGCATGCTGTTTCTCTGTCCAAGTTCTGAACCAACTAAGAAAGAAAGCAAGAGTCAAGTATGTGGAGACTAAAGTAATACTCTGATTATTGAGGAAGCTGATATTAAAGAATGAGGGAAAGAAGGTTTTTTTATACTAAAAACTTTTAATAGACAGGCTTATCCACCTGGACAGGAGCTCTGGGGGTGTAGTGCCTAAGGCATTTGACTGCTAACCAGAAGTTTGGCAGTTCAAAGCCACCAGCCACTCCATGAAAGGAAGACTGGGCAATCTACTTCTGTAAAGATTTACCACCTCAGAAGCCCAAAGGGGGTCACCATGAGTCAGAATCAACTAGATGGCAGTGAGTTTGGTTTTTTGGTTTTATCCACTTAGAACTTTGGCTAGGTTGGCTTTCCCACCCTGCAGGAAAGACTGGGTCCCTGAAGAAACAGAAAGATATGTGTTTCCTGTGGGTCACTTATAACCAAGAGATAAGGAAGGGGAAGGGACTTCCATGCCATACTTGCCAAGTTATTCCTTCTAAACTCATCCCAGGTAGAGAGAGACCACAAGTATAAGGTTAAAAGGGTTTTCTTCAAAGAGAAGGAACAAACAAGAGTGAGGAAAAAGTGGTACCTCCCAATTCCTTGATGGTGACTATTGGAGGTTTGCAAAGTATAGCCCATGGACCAAATATGAGCTGTCTTCTGTTTTTATAAATAAAGTTTTATTAGAACACAGTCAAGCTCATTGGTCCTAGGGCCATTTTTGTGCTTCAATGGCAGAGCTGACAACAGAGACTGAATGGCCTAACCTGCTACCCAATTTTTAAACATTTACTGTCTGGCCCATTACAGAAAAAAAAAAAAAAAAAATTGCTGACCCCTTGGTATATATTACTAGTATTATTTGGTTACCAAAAAAAACCAAACTCACTGCCTTCTAGTCGATTCTGAGTAATAGAAATCCCCACTGGGTTTCTGAGGGTGTAAATCTTTATGGCAGTAGATCTCCCATCTTCCTTCCATGGAGAGCCTGGTGGGTTTGAAGCACTGACTTTCTGGTCAGCAGCCAGATGTCTTATCCACTATGCCACCAGAGCTCCTTATTATTTGGTGAGTGGACATTTAAAAAAAGAAAGAAAGAAAGAAAAGGTGATTAAACAGGGTTAGCCACAACAAGATAAAGCAAACATGTTATATATATAACCAAACTCCAAACTCACTGCCATTGACTCATTACTGACTCATAGTGACCTCTATTGGGTTTCTGAGGGTAAAAATATTTATGGAAGTAGATTGCCCAGTCTTCCTTCTATGCAGCAGTTGGTGGGTTTAAACCACTGACCTTCTGGTTAGCAGCCAGATGTCTTATCCATTACACCGCCAGAGCTTCTTATTAATTGGTGAGTGGACATTAAAAGAAAAAAAAGTAATTAAACTGTGTTAACAAAATCAGGACACATGACATCAGCACTAAAATCAAATCAGAAATAGATACACGAAATAAGACCATAAAACATTGTACACTAAAAATCAAGGAAGCCAACCTGCACCTGACAAGAGCAACTAACCAAATACAGGGAATAAAAGTTCTAGGTACAAACTTCCAAATGGAGAGGAAAACAGGACACTGTCCTCATAGAACAAAAATGTAGAGACAAGAATTCATTCCAAGGTAACCACAGAGAAACAATCCTCCTAAGCAAATACAGAAGGAAGGAAAACACATGGGTTTACTAAGCACAAAACCAACAACAAAGAAGAAAAGAGACGAAACACTTGACAACAAAACAAACTCAACAGAGAAAAGTATATGGACCAAGGAAACTCCAACAACACAACAACAACAACAAAGCACAATAGAATGACAGCAATTAATTCATACCTATCACTAATTCCACTTAATGTGAATGGACTAAATGCACCAATCAAGAGAAAGAGAGCGGCAGACTGGATAAGAAAAGAAGACCCATTGGTATGCTGCCTACAAGAAACCCACCTTAGACACAAAGATAAAAACAAATTAAGAGTCAAGGGGTGGAAAAAAATATTCCAAGCCAATGGTAACTAAAAAAGAGCAGGAGTGGCAATATTAATTTCTGATAAAATAGACTTTAAAGTGAAAACAACATAAGAGACAAAGAAGGATACTATATGATGCTGAAATGGTCAATTTACCAAGAAGACATTATGATAATAAATATCTATGTACCCAATGAAAGTGCTCCAAAATATGTGAAGCAAATATTAAGTGAATTAAAAGGGACAATAGACAACTCTGCAATAGTAGTAGAAAACTTTAACACACCACTTTTAAGGAGGGACAGATCAACTAGAAAAAACTCAACAAAGATACAGAAGAACTCAACAACACAATCAACCAACTCGACCTCTTTGACATATACACAGCATTCCACCCAAAAAAGCACAATTCACATTTTTCTCCAGTGCACATGGATCCTTCTCCAGAATAGATCATATGTTAGGACATAAAACAAGCCTTGAGTTCTGGCGAGATGGCAGAGTAGGCAGAAGGACTGCACAGAACCTCTTCAACAAAGAAAAGGGAAGCCAATTAACACAGACACAGAAGATAATCTTGGACCCCTGAGGCTTGAAGGGAAGGATACAGAAGTGGACTAAACCCCAACTAGCAGAAGAATTTGCATGAAAATACCAAAAAGGGAGACATATGGAGCTGCAGTCTGGCAATGACCTGAGCGACCCTGACAGTACAGGCAGCTTGGAGATTCCCAAGTGGTGGTAGGGCCTAAGAATTAACCTAAAAATCACCCTGCTAGCTAGGGACTGCACAGAGGACTGTGCACAGTGGCTAGGGAACAAACGGAGAAGGTGAAGAGAAAGGTGGGTTGAGCTGTGGACTTTTGCTGGTCCGGAGGACGCTGCCATTTTGAAGGTTTAAAAAGCGGCTTGACTATTTTGGATATTTAAAGAGACAGCATTCTCGCAGATTTCTGGGGCTTAAGAGCACGTTCTGCTTTCCAGCAATGCCAAGGACACTTGGGGCCTGCAAGACTGAAAAGGTATGACATTCTTCTTGTTACTACACCCTATAACTGCTTGGTGAACGGAGATGTGGCCATCCCTACTCCCACCTACCTTCTGGGCCCACAGGAACTCCATCACAGTCTGTGTGCTCAGATGGAGCCTGCGTGCCCTACTCAGTCATCCACCAATTTTTTCCTTTTCACATTCTTTTTCCTGATGATTAGTTTTCTTGTTTTTGTCCATTCAAACCAAATAATATTATTAATAATTTTGTCCTTTTTATTATTATTATTACTCTTCCCCTACCAGGTCCTAGCTTTCAACATTTTTTCTTTTCCCTGGGCCTGGTTGAAATTCTGCCTCCCCAACCCCAATTTAAGGTTTTTTTTTTTTTCTTTTTCCCCCCTTTTTTTTCTCATGACTAACCCCAGTCCTTGTTTATATTTTTGCATTTTTTCCTATTTTTTTCTTCATTTATTATTCTCCTTCCCTACTTTTTTTTTCTTCTTCTTAGTGCTCTATCCCCAGATATTGCATGTTTGCTTATTTTTTCTTCTTTTTTTCCCTTTTCTCTTTTTTTGGTTACTGTTCCTGTGTGATTACATGGTGTATTTTTCATCCATGGGTTTTAGTTTTTTGATGGTTATTCAATTGTAATTTGTGTCTAACTGAGTGGGAGACAACAACAATCCTCATAAGACACAACTACACCCACACCTCCTGACACTTCACTTGCTGAGCGAGGGCCACTTCCTCCTTCTCCACCAACAGGCCAATGATAAAAAACCACCAAGAAGAGCCTGAACCACCTTGGCTGCTCTTCATAAACAGTTAAAAGAGATCTAAATACAACCACGTTACATTGCCTC